GATGCTGGGGGTTCCCTGGCCATGGCAGAAGCTCCCTAAATGGCAGTTGGCCCCATTGATGCTGGGGGTTCCCTGGCCAAGGCAGAGGCTCCCCAGATGCCGCCTCGCCCAGCTGGGGCTCCTCAGCCCCTGTGTTGCTCAGAGGCTGGAGAGGGATGGCAGGAGACAAATTGCTTGATCATTGTCTTCAGTCCACCCTCTCTGGGGTACCTAGTGTTGGCCACTGTCGGCAGACAGGATACTGGGCTAGATGGACCTTTGGTCTGACCCAGTACAGCCGTTCTTATGTTCTTATGTTATGTTCTTGCTTCCACCTCTTCCGGGGCCCTTTGGTCCATGGTTCTGCCAGACCACAGATGTTGCTTGGACCAGAGAGTCCTGGTTTGGGAGGTTCATCTTATACTTACAATATGCAGTATATAGAGGTACATCATTCTTTACAAGGAGTTACAATGAGCTTTTATTTAAATCTACAATAATACGGTTACTTATGTCAACAGTACAATATTGTGAATAAAATACTTAAGTCCATGGCATCATCTGAATTGAATAGACATTTCTGAGCTGGTGGGGCAGCAATGTACCAGTTGCCTTGCATGTGCCTGACTGTGAAACTGTATTTCTTTTTGAAATCAGTAGGATTTGCCTAGCAACAGCAGAATCACACTTCTTACACACTTACCACTAGTTCATATGTAACACATTCTATATGTCATGGTGGTATAAAAGTTTTATTGGCATAAGTTTGCAACAGTCATGTTACTGATGAAGATGGAGAAGACCCAAATGAGCTATGCATGTCAGCCCAAACACATGCCTGGACATTACATCATCCTGTGGTTAGTTGTTTGGGTTGTTTTATGTCACGTACAGAGTGTTATTGAAACTGTTTTGTTAGTTTTTATTCTTTCATATTATATTACTCCACTTGTGAGGTCATGATCCTGAACACTTGTTCACGAATGAAACCACTGATGATGAAAATCAGTGTCAAATTCCACTTCTGGAAAGAAGCATTCAGCGAAATCCAGTATTGCTCAGTGTGGCCAGTGTGTGTTACACCTGCGTCCGATCCAGTATGTGATTCTCTTACAGGCTGGGCTACAGACCCTGGCTGCAGAACATAGAATACAATTACTAACCGTTAAGTTTGAAAATCATCAAAATGATCCAACTTGAAAAAATAGGTTCCACTATTAGAATTAAATTATAGTTACAAAAACTCAGTTGAAATGAATCTGAGTTAGTGAGAGAGAATTTTATACGGGTTACATTCTGTCTTCCGGCTAGACTTGTGCTAATAATATTTGGATATGGGAGGCCTCTTATTCAAGTAATATCTGGATACCTGAATATTAAACTGTTTATTCCAAATCCGTTCCAGAAGTACTTCATCCTCTGCCACTTTTCATCTGAGCCCTTTCTAGTGCTAAATTGAATAGGCCACCTACTTGACCATTCCAGTAGTGCCCCAGTGCTATAGTAGCAGCAGGATTTAATTCTAATATATTTGTAAATCCTGAATATTTGCTTAGCAGAAAGATTTTGACTGGACTACTTCAACCTGGGCCTCACTTTGTTGTCACTTGGCTCTACCCACTGCGTGAGACTATGGATTTCATTTCTATCTGCCTTGTTGATAGTCTGCCATCTTTCAAATATATGCAGTTAAATAAAAAGGGTTCGCTTCTTGTAATGAGAGGAGCAGTATATGCTATAATCTTTCCTTACAGTTCCCAGTTCATAGCTATTTTTGTTGAGAACTGGCATACTATCAATGTAATTTCTTTGAATGTGGCACATATGGCCGCCTTCCTCTGCCAGTTGTGTCCATTAATTTTCAGCAACAAGTAACTCTTGTTCTTAAACAATTACATCATTATCTGGTGTGTGCCGATCTACTGAGCTATGACTAGTACAATCTCACAGAAGTACAAATAATAAAGTGAGGGGTAGCAAAATATCTTGGATGTCTCTATTTATCTCAATTATTCCCGATTTAATTTGGGTTTTAAATGTGCTGTTTCTTCACACCATTCCTTCCACAGAGCCCATAGCTGGTTGTGTGTGCCCAGCCAGCCATTTCTCATGGAATTAAGGAATGTGCACGTGAAACTGATGGCACTTCTACACTATAAATTTAAGTTGACTGAAGTCGACATCCAGCCATCTCAGTCATTTCTGTGGTTTTTGTCTGCGCTGCCCTTCTTCCGCTGGTGGAGCATGACAGGAATGGTTGCACTGACTTAAAAGGAGCCATTGGAGGTGGGAGCAGGGCTTGGAGCAGGTAACCTGGGCAGCTGCTAGGCTCCCTGCTGAGAGTGAGAAGTCTGGGCAAGAGTGGGAATGGGGAACCTTGGCAATAGCCAGGCTTAGTGCGGGGATCCAGGAGGCCAAGTGCCAGCAGAGCTCCCTGCGAGAAGCTGGGCAGCAGGAGCCTTTCCCACACCCAGTCCTGGGTGACATTGACAAGAAAGGCAGCTAACTGCAGATGTAAGTAACACGGTGTCTACATAGACACTGCATTGCCCTAAATCAGCCCCGAAAGGTTGGGAACCATTGTCCTAAATGCATCGACATAAGCCCTGCGCCTCTTGTGAAGGTGTGGTCGGGCACTGCAGCAGCAAGGCTACAGTGTAGATACTGATGTAATTAGGTTGACATAAGCTACCTTATGTTGACTTACTCTGCAACATAGACCAGGCCAAATTCCTACATTCCAGACTGAGGTCAGACATAAGTCACCCATTCCAGTAGTCCTCAGTTCCTCTTTATCAGCTGGTAGTAGAATTCGACTTTTCCCTACTCTCTGTCACAAGAGGTGCTGTGCGCATGTTGCAAATGGTTTGGCTGGTTAACTAAAACATATTCCTCCAGTGAGCTCTCATGGAGATCAACTGAGTCAGCCGAGTTCTGTTTGGGTGCAGGGCTCCTCTGTGCAGAATTTACCTCCCCTGTGCAGACTAGACTGTGTTGTTTTTTAAATTTTTCTTTAGTTTTAGTCCTAACAGGACTGCTATCAGCATGATTCTTATGTACGATGTGAGACTCAGTGACCTCTGGATTGGTGAACTTCACGTATGGTGAATCAGTAATCCCTCATTATATTACACTTGGCTATCCAGCTGGGAAGGAAGGGCTGAATTGACTAAAGGGGACTTGTTTGGCTTCTTATTAACCAAATTAATAGCTCTTTTGTTGCTGGCTTGGTGAATCTAATTATGGAATAAACTACCAGTTTGCCTTTTTCTTGCAATCTAATGTGAGCATGGCATTCTCATTGTGGCAATCCAGGGAACCTGGTCATGCACATTTATTTACTGCATATAGTTTATGAAGTGAATGTCTATGCAAAGATCAATCTGTTAGTTATACGATGTAATGAGATTATTTTGCAAGACTTGCACAAAGATCTCTGCTTCAGTTCATGTCATGCAAATAAAATTTTATTTTACTTCTCACAAATGTCACAATGAAGATGCAGAAGCAGTGCTCTAGTAACCAGTGAAAGATAGTTAATGCTAAAAAACTCTGTAGGCTGACATTTTTCAATTATTTCCCAGATTTATGTTCTATGCACAGCTAGCCTTGTTTGCAACCTGATAAATTAGACCAAAATACTTCACTGGCTAGAGTGCATGTGCAAATGTCCCATGACTAAAATAGGCTACGTGAATTAGGGAAATTCTACACATGCACCTGAATTTTAAATTTAAAAACTTAATTTTAATTTTAACTACCAATATTTTCTAAGAAAAATGGGGAGGAGTACTTTTTCCCCTCTCAAGAAATGTAACAAAATATTACGGATTACGTAATTAGTGAGAGTGACACAACTATCAAGGATATGAAAACTGACCAAGGTAGAGGACAGAAGCTTGTTTTTGTCAAGACTGTTTAAAATTATTGGGTCTTGTTAACATCCATTTATTCCCAATTTGATAAACACGTGATGAAAGATTTAGGATCCCAAGGTTTTCAAATAAGGGTTCAGAAATATTCTATCCCTAGTTTAAAGGATTTAGCTACTGTAGTTCCAAACAAGTATTAAATTGGAATGTAGTATAAGAAGGAACTTCTCAGACTCAAGTGCTGGAGTATTAATTGACATGCAAACACCTTTTTAAATTTTTGATAAAAGGAAATCACTAAAAAGTTATGTTTATTTTGACTTAGTCTTCCCCCCTCAAGAATGACGTTAGAACTATCTAGCTACAACAATATGAGCTACAGTATAGTGAGACGATTTCTGTCCCAACACAACTTACACAGAAGGCCTTCTCTACAGTCAGAAGTTTCTTTATCACTTCCTTCTGCCAGTCTATTCAGTGTAAAGTTCAGCTAGTTTCATAATGACAAGTTCTCCCACATTCTAAATCCGTTTTACTACCGAACAGTTCCAGTAGCAGACGAGCAGTCTTTGGGCAGTTGTCCAGTGCATAGTTACAATTTTTTCAAGTTTTGGTATCTTTCAAGCAGCTTCTTTAAAAAGGACAGCAGCTAGTTTTAAGTAGACCCAGCACCTGTTCTTGTGTTTAAATTGGTTTTAAAACAAATTTAGATAGGAGTATTTATGCACAAGCTTTCAGTCAATTTAAGCATCATTTTTCTTACAGTGGTATGAATTTACAGTTAAAACAATATAAATCAGAATGAATTGATGTGTTCAGTGTTTTATATCATCTATAACTTATTTTAGGTAAGGCCTCTACCTACTGATGATAGTGTAACTTCTAATCATTTACATTGTGAGAATGGAGTACACACTAATTTTCCCTTAGTCAGTTTTTCTTCTTTTGGGGGAAATAAGGTTTTGAAAAACAAAGCTACAAAATTGGAAGTGTGGACAGGCATATAGCAGCTGTTACCTGCATTAGTTGCAAGAAAAACTCAGCTTTCAAGTCCACGTAGTGCTGACTGGCTACTTATTGCTGCAGAAAATAAGAGACCAAATGAAGGCCAGTTACTTGTAAGAATTCAGCACACCACACTTAATGGTATTAAAGTGAAAATACTAGACTTTATTTTATAAAAGGAAGTTAAAACAAAAACCCTGCCAGTGTGTACATTGTACACATTTGAATGACACTCACAACAATGAAGTTTTATTGGATATACATTGAAAGATCACAAGTCCACACTGGGAAGGATGATGTTTACAAGCAAATCAATTGGACTTCACAGATGTCACTTCCTGCAAAACGATGTTTCAAATTCAAATAATAGCAACGATTATACTACAATGGCATTGGAAACTTGAGCTTTTGAATTAGTATCCATGCTATTTATTCCACTACAAACTGTACAGAAAGCAAGGCAAGAATTTATTCAAAGTATGATTCATGGATTTGTCATTTGCTGGAATAATTCCTCATTCTTCAGTTGCCATTTTCAACAGATGTTCTTTGTCAATTTTGAAGAGCCTCCATCCTTCCTCAGAGGACAGATCAGAAGCACCTCTTCTTTTGTAGAACTTGATAGAAGGTTCATTCCATTCTGCCACTATAAAGTGCATGCTGCTACAGCGGCATTTGAGAGCAACCTACAAACACATGACCAGTATATTTATTAGGTGTGTAGCAATTTTATTAATTGCATATGGAAATCTATTCCTCCATTACCGATAGGCAAGTCTCCACACATCATATTGCTGAAGTGAAGACTGCCATTAATATTGGCAGCTGTTTTAATCATAGCAATTTCCTTCAACCCACCTTGGTCTCGTTGGGCACAATGGAGATGAGGGACTGTCAATTCTGATTCTATGAAGTACTGACAGATACTAAACCAGTAGGATTTTACAGAATTTGATAAACCTACCCCATATGTCCATTTGTCCCTTTTATTACCATAACTGAATCACTCATTTTCAAGTACTATTGAAGGGTAATATTAATTGAGCTAAACAGACTTGCTTCTCTGCTGTGGTCTTGTGCTAAAAATCTGACAGAGAATGGAACTATTTACCTGACTCAGATTCTTCAGAATTTCTGAACCAATGCCAAGTCCTAAAAAGTCAAGAAAGGTTGGTTGTAATTTTAAAAAAAATTATAGAACAGTCCATTTTGAAGCTATTTGTTAAAATATACCTCTGAACTCTGACATTACAAAGAAATCTTCAAGGTACAGCAATTTTCCAATCCAAGGGTCATAAGTGAAGTAATACATGGCAAAACCCACAATAAGATGTCCTGTAACAAAGAATTACATCAGCAAAAATACCCTTAAATTTGAAAAGCAACAAGATTAGTATATTTCAACTTGCATGCATACAACCTAAATACCTAGGTTTCACATGCAACCATTAATGTATTAACTGTCATAAGCCTGGTTCAAGGATGGAAGTTTGCAATAAGCATACTGAGTTGTAGGTAAAACAGGAATTCTGATAGCTTGAGATGTGTTGTGGAATGAAGATTATCTTTCTAGCTCTTGGAAGGCAGTGTTTACGGTTATAGCGAACAATGAACATCTAAGGCTTTCTGCTACAGACACATTATACATACCCTATTATCAGTATGTCCACTTTGGAATATAAAACTGGCTTACATTTAACACGGCAGTTCAGAATATGCTGGCACTTTGCTCAATTCTGCTTTCTTAAAAATTGTAACACAACACTAACAGTAAATCTAAAAACTACACCTTTAAAAGACTGTTTTCCAATCAGTATCTCTCAAAAATTACTCAGTGGGAAAACCAGGAGTGCTCCCAGGAAGCCATAAGTTAACAATGGCATCTCCAGCACCTCCTTGGATTGTGTTCCCATTAACAAAGTGGCAGTCTGTATCCTGGGCACCAGAAACATATCTACTTTGGCCAACAGCTTTCCTTGTTTGCTTGAAACAACTCTATGGCTCACTCTGTAAGAGTAGCCAACTGTCAGGTGCAAAACTGGTACCCTCTTCCAATATCATCCCACTCAGTCCTAAAACCTTGAGACTTCAAATCATGTTGTTAGCCATAGTAGTTTGCACATACTCATAAAAAGAGAGTGCATACAGGATTTCTGATCTACCGTGTGTTTTTTGGTAAATGTTTGGGAATAGTACTTGTCCCTGTTAGACCTTACCTCATGTATCATGATCATCTACTTTATTGTGTAACGGATCTTTTAGTTACCTCCCCGCCCATCCATGTACACGGAAGGGCCATGTACATGGCGAAGCTAGAGACTGTAACCTGAAGATTGGGGACAAATTAAAGAAAAAATGTGATTCAACAGGATTACATTAAGGGAAATTAGGGTCAAACAAGAACAAACTAATTAAATGGAATTACTGTGTATCATATATATTATACCTGGTCTCCAGTGTCTTCAAAATGGCTGATCATTTTAGAAAAATATCACAACTCTTCAATATCAATAACTGTATTTTAACTTTCTTCTTATCCAAATTCCCAGCTGGGGCTTTATGTATAATCAGCAGCTTTAAATAATGTGTTACATACATCCTGTGCATTTCTTATTTTAAAAGAGTAGCAGGAAATCTTACCTTCAGCAGTCCACTGTTCTTCTGGAACTTCTGCAACAAGACAGTGGTAGAAAGGGTGCTCACCAAAGCCATCTTCAAGCAGATCTACAAAATGACAATAGGCTGACGTGTATTAAATATTAACAGTAGTAGGACTACACCACACCAAACTCTGAGCAGCTCATGTTACCTTTTTCAGTTAGGACTACTTGATCCTCCATATCCTCATATTTAGCTAGTTCCTGAAAAAAATACATGCACAGATATACATTTATTTCCATGCCTCAAGGAGGCATTTCTTATCCAAGTGCTATTTATACACAGCAGAGCAGAGAGGCAGCCACTTGCCCGCTGCCAAGAGCGAAGAGCCCCCGCGTGCCCGTGAACTGAACACAAACAACTTGTTTTTGCCAAATTAGGAGTTCTTGGTTCTGGGAGGACAAAACTGACACTGGAGGAGTTTCGAGCCCCCCCCC